TCTCCTAACATTTCTATACAACTTGTATTTGTTTACTACATCCATTTTTAAATGTATGTCAACTGTATATATTTGTGTTTGTAGCTTCTGATTTCCAAAGCAAATCCCCTTAACAGAGTTTTTCTGATTATAAATCCAACTTAAACTGTTAAAGTAGTCAGAGACCTTCTAACATTAGTTATAAGATCTAGACAAGTAATCAGGATTTAATAACTGATCACTTCTGGGAATAACTTCTGTAGCAAAATATCTTGGAAACATTTACTGTCCCTTTAAATAATCGGGATACACTGTTTTTATGTTGTTTTCGGCACACATTTGCTTTAAAAAAAAACATATTCCTTTTCTTATCAAATAACATGAATGTCTTTGATTTTGATATGTGAGGATAATTTATGGATAGATCAACTAAAATTAAACCTCTAGATCAGGAGTCACCTGGACCACATAGGGGGCCCTCAATGTCTTCTGAAAAAAGAAGAAATCACTTTAAAAATATAAATTTTATTCTGTTGCTATTCTCTTTTAAGCATTTATAGAGCATTTAAGCATGGATATTTTAAAATGACAATATCTACAAAACAAAATTAAAAAAAAAGCAATAAAAATTTGTTTATTAGTTAGTTTAGATTAATGCTAAGTCATCAGCCAAAGTTGGTGACCCTGCTATCATGTGATCGGCTTCTTGGTGGAACTCTCAAAGATAGAACTTGTGTTGATCGGAAGGATTTGAGAACGGACCGGAAGTGGTTGTGTGATAGAGCTGCGTAGAAGGCACCTTACAGAATAACGGAGTGATGAATTAGTTTGTTTGTTCGATATTTTTGTTGAGTTTTTCGCTGTAAATATGGCGGCTAAGCGTAAAGCGGAGGTGACGGTTCCTGCGGAGGAGAGCGACCAGCTGCTGATCCGCCCGCTGTGAGTTTAAACCGGACACTTTTCAGCCGCGAGCCTCACGCCAAACTCCTTTCACAAAACACAACTTTTAAGCGGTATTGCAGAGAGGTTCCCAAAAGGAAACATATTTCTGTTTTAAAATAAAAACTAAGGCAAAAATGTTAAATTCGGCATAAATAAACATTTGCTGTTAGTTTCTTTAGCAGCTTTATACATATAGTTTTAATTCAGATTCCCTGTCTTTTTTTAATAATCGCTTTTAATATTCTTTGTGTCTTGTTTAGAATTAGTGATATATATTTCCAAACTGAAGCAGTTAAAGGCAACATATTATCTTTAAGACCACACTAATTATAAAATGGAAGTGTGCGTAGAGAGTTGTGGTCTGATGGTGCGTTTGTGTGCAGAGGAGCCGGTCAGGAAGTTGGACGATCCTGCATCATCCTGGAGTTCAAAGGCAGGAAGATCATGGTAACTCTGTTCCTGTTGTTTGTTTGGTTATTATTATTTTTATTTTTTTGGGGAAACCTGAGATTTTAAACCATCTTTTTTACTTTTAGCTGGATTGTGGGATCCATCCCGGTCTGGAGGGGATGGACGCTTTGCCCTACATCGACCTGATCGATCCAGCTGAGATCGACCTGCTGCTCATCAGCCAGTGAGTTTAAGAAACCAGCTTTAGAACAAATAAAAAGCTTCATCTGATAAAAATCACTATGATTCTCTGATTTGATTTTGATAAAGACACCCTGGTGTGCGTTTCCCAGGTCCAACGGTGCACAGAGGTTTGGTACTTTGGACTGTAGATGAGCCAAAACCTGCAGGATCCTCTCTGTTTTGGTCTGATGGGATAAACCTTTGATTTGTTCTTCTTTCAGCTTCCACTTGGACCACTGTGGAGCTCTCCCCTGGTTTCTGCAGAAGACCAGCTTCAAAGGACGCACCTTCATGACGCACGCCACCAAGGCCATCTACCGCTGGCTGCTGTCGGACTACGTCAAAGTCAGGTGTGTTCAGGGTCAGGTTAGATGGTGGAATATTTACAAATAAGCTGGAATCAGAGGAGTTAGTCAAAGCTGGGGTCAGTTTCATGAAGCGGGTTTAAAAAATTCAGATTCAAACCCGTAAAT